CGCAGCTATGGAACTGAGATCTTCATCATTATTAAGGTTCACTCAGTGATATGACAGTAAGAGTACAGTGTGATCAATTAGCCTAGCTTAGCATTGCAAAAACACTGGAAACAGAGGGAAACAAGTTGCCCTCAGTCTGTCTCACGGTAAAATAATCTAGCACCTCCAAAGCTCATAAATTGATATGTTATATTGTGTTTCTTTGATCCGTACACAAAGTGAAGTGGGATTACGTGCCAGACAACAACCAACAAACCTGTCCTCAGGATGCACAGATTAAGTCATTAACAAACTTAGATTTCCATGTTAGAACAGAAATAGCTCTTTTACATGGAAAGTTTATTCTTGTCCCACTCTGTGATGACTCACCCCTGGACTAATATAATCCTGAAGGTTGAAAGAAATGGTCCGTACAGTAGGTCAGCTCATCCTTTCAACAGCTACATAAGAGACATGTTTAGCAAATGTTGCCTTTGATGGCCTTTCTTCACTGATTCATCAACACTGGAAGTCCCTGAGCAGCCTCACTGGCAGCCTTCAACGACGGCACACTAAACTTTTTTGAGTTTGAAGAGATATTATTCTTTTGGTCCCGCTGGACTTCAGCATTTGAACATGTTTTCAGACCAGCTTAGAATAAAGATAGCAAAATCTGTTCAGGGTACTACACAGGTGACCTTATACATAAACCAACTCATCATTGTTAGTCTAAATTCATATTTCACCCTATAGGTAAACATAATTAATGTAAATCTGTTGCATAATATTTTTCAAATGTCCTGTAGTCCATCTCACCGGCAGTTTCCCCAGCAGAGACACGGGCTGAAAGGAAGCTTTGGCGACACCTGTAGGTGGAAAGTAGATTAGGTGGTTACACTAAGTAGAACATCCTCATAAAAACCTGTTGTCTGGAAACAAGATACCTGGTTGAGATGTTTCCCATGTCGTCATATTGTTGTCTGGAATGTGTAGCTGGAAAACCAGTGCGTGTGTCTGACACAAGAGAGCCCATGAAACTGAACCTCACTTGTTATATACAAAAAAACCCATGGTTGCACATGCAGTATACAAAAGTACTGTCAAGAATCAGGAATCCATAAACGAACTGGGGAAAAAAAGGCTTCAGTGTGTCAGTGAGTGAATGCACTGAATGGCAGTAAGATTCGCAGAAAGAGGGTAAACATTTCCAGTGAAAGTAAATATCAATCATACAAGCTGAGCACCGAAGAAAGTAGACTGTGAAGTGAGTAAATAGCTGGCATTGACACACCTTCTCATGTGCACTCTGTTTAATGTGTTAAAGTGATCACTGTTACATGTTAAAGTGATCACTGAGCCTACAAGCGTTAAGCATTTCATACATTTGCTGCTGGTTGCTCAGGCTGGCCATGAATTGTAGAGTTGGTGTTTGATTCCCACCTCCCTTCTATTAATTTAGCAACCCCCTGATACGTGCGTTGGATGAGGAAAATGTGTTGCTTTGGACAAAACCTTCTGCCAAATGTATTTCTTGTGCTGCACGATTCCCAAAATAAAACCTTCATTATGTCAATGACATCATTTTTTGGGGCCCCGAGGCATCTTGAACGAAACACAAGTCATTTTATTATGATTCCCAACCTTTGAAAACAGGCGTTTCCAAAAAAAAACACTTGAAGGCAGCATCGGTCCACGTGATTGTCTCGCTGATGGCCTGAGCTGTAACAGGTTCTCTGAGGAGGAGGCATCCGTTTCATTGTTAGGGCCAGACGGTGCAGCTCGTCAGGGGAATTCTTCTCGACGGCACGGGGCCTGCCCGTGCTACAGATGGCTTATCTCACAGTAAATGATTCAGAAAACGATAACATGCCTCCAAACGGAGACGAGGTCGTGTCCTTTTGCAAATGGAACGTCTTTCGTAGTTAGAGTCTGGACAGAGCACCTTTTTTTTGGGGGGGGGGGGGGGGGATCTCCATTTCATGCTAAAAATGTGAGGCTCTGTGTCAGCTGCTCAGGGAAAGGTGGGCATTTTAAATTCACTTGCAACACTCCTGATTCTCACATTTAAATAGTAAGCGCATCAATTAATGCTTGATTCAGGCACAAGCAAAACATAAGCCCTTCCAGGCAGGAAATTAAGGGGTAAATATGACAGCGTTAATTCCCTTACATAACTATCCAGAGACAGCCTCACTGCCAAAAACCAAGGAGGCCGGTTTCCTGCAAAAAGGACGGTTTAAGTTGTCAACTCGGGGCCTGGAGCAGAAGCTAAAGCCCTTCCCCTGTTCTCCCGGTGTCCAAACACTGAAACACGTATGTGCAAGTCCAAACCTAGAAGTAGGCGAGGGACTGTAAGCCAAGTCCCTTAGTACTATTCAACAATTATCAATCTGTCAGCTAAACGCACAAACGTCAGGCCGGATCAGAGGCTGCTCCCGCACAGGAGAGTCAAGCAGCTGTGAAACATTTATTAACAGACGCGATCACTTCGCCGTAACCTGCTTGGTTAAGTATGGTTCACATTTTGTCAAGAAAATTGTCAATCACATAAAGAACATTAAATTAACGCAAATAGTTTGTTGGCACTAGCCCTACACACACACACACACACACACACACACTTGCATATAGTCTTTGACACAGGACTGGAGGGGACAAGTTGACAGCCGAGAGCAGAATGCGCTCTACTTCTTTCTCTCTAATGTGATTTTAGGCCCGATGTGTGTAACATCAAAGACACAAATCTTATCCGGCCCCCCTCTGTCCCTTTTGACGTGGACATTGGTGCATTTTGGGAGAGGTGTCTCTCCCCATTGTCAGCTCGTCTGTTCTGCGTACGCAGATTAGAAAGAAGCTGACAGGAGCGAAGGGAAAGGAGAGCGACGTGGAGAGACGGATTTGTGGAGACATGAATGGCTTGCAGGTGTTTTGTTTTTTTTTCCCAGAGAGAGATGGATAGAGTGGGAGATGTGGAGCCATGACTCCGCCCCCCCCCTCCCCCCCCCCATGCTGTCATTATGTTTTATGGCAGAAGAAGAACTGACGCGAGGTGCTGCACGGATGGGCCATGTGAGAAAGGGTGATCATTTTACACCAAGACTGTGTGCCGTCTGTTCACAGCCGACGTATCTACAAGCGGAGAAGCGGAGTGTGAGGGAAGGAGGGAGAGCATTGCTGCCAAGTGGTGCTCAAGAGAAACAAACAGCGGTGAGTGCAGCGGGAGTGAAGGTGAAGGTGAAGGAGTCACTGTTGAGATAAGGAAAGGGCAGAGGCGAAGGAGAAGGCTGCATGTTACCTCTCTGCAAAGAAACAGTTATAAAAGAATACACACATTAAATTTGCAAAAAGATTTTAATAGGCATTGTTTTAATCATTCTTGGATCAATTTACAGTTCTTTTTTTAAATTTTTTTTTATCATTCTCGTCAAAGGTAAACACATTTCTTGTGGTTGTCTTCAACACCAGTAAATGCTTTTCGCCCCGCTTCCCAAACCCCGGAACGTAAACCAACATTACAGAAGAGCACGTTCTCTCATACACACTTGCATATTCAGATCCTACAAACGACTCCTTAACGGGTACGGAATTTCTAAATGCAACATACTCGAGAAGCGCGGACAAACACATTCGACATACACATGCACAAAGATGTGCACACGGTTTTTTTTTTCTCTTTCCCACACATACACACATACACACACACACACACACACACATACACACACACAGGAAAGAAGGCAGATAAAGCCACACACACACACTCATACACGCTTGTGCACACGCACGCACGCACATTCAATAACCGGCATGTATTATAAATATACATTACAATGCAGACTCGTTTTCTCAAGTGAGGAATGCTGCCCTTCATCAACTCCGTCTGTGCATTCACAGCTGGTTTATGACGAGCGCTTCAGCAACATAATCTGCTCATCAGTGTCTGTTACATCGGAGTAGGGTTACTGAGTGTGCGTCCCTACTGATCAGTCACAACCAATAACCCCCTCTGTTTGTCAGGCTGAACTACATCTGCCTATCTATCTATACAAGCAAAATGCTGCAGTAAAAATCCCACTGTTTTAAAAAAAAGAATAAAAAAATGGCACAACAGCTTATTGAGCAAAGGCCTACAATTGCACATTAATAAATTAGATAGATAAATAATATACTTTAATGTTAAAATAAATACATTTGAAAAGTAAATCAATTCAAAAAGCACAACATTGTAATCTGATTAATGCCATCCTACGTTGTCCTGTATTACAATATAAAAAAAGTGAACTTCTCTTTATTTGCACATTCACACGTGTGGGTTTTTTTTTTTCTCCTTTTAAACAAAATGGCGGCAGCGTTACTTTGAGACTCAAAGCACAATTTCTCCTCAGGCACCTGCCGCACTCTGGCGGCTGTTTAGGGTCGTTTCCATGGTGACCGTGACTGCTGCAATGGCCATCAGCACTGATTGGCTGGGAACCTCTGAAGTGGAAGAGGAATTGATGGCGTTCTCTGGGATTAAATGGGAACTCGGTGCGGAGAGAGCTTCTTAAGAATCGTAAATTAGTGGTGTTCTGAATGACTGCTGATTGCTGCGAAGGGGAAAGGTTTGACATCCAGAAAATCTACGCAGAGTGCTGAAGGTAAAACGCATCGGAACAAAACACACATCTAGCACACCTAAGTGCCATCAAATTACTAGTCCGGGGTCTGTATTTTTCTCGGGTTGTTACAGTGTGAAGGCAGGAAGCAGACAAAGGACTAGTTCTAAGAGGGCACTCGCTGTCCACTAAGAAACGCGGGCTTTGCATCTGTATCTCACAAAAGCCAGGGGTATTTTTGATGTCGGCTGAAAATGGATTCTTGAAAAGGCCTGTGGATATCCTCACAAAGGCTTTCCCTTTTCTTGAGAAACACATCGGGCTCTTATAAGCAGCAGCTCCAACGCACCGGTGTGAAAACATTCTTCAATGTCCAGGATAATGGCAGCAGTTCTCATCGCTGACCGATTACATAAATATCCTGTACGGCCCAGGTGAGATCCGTACAGTTCCAGAGTCCAGCTTGCTCTTTACTACATCTAAATTGAGTTCTATCCATCGGCATACTCGATCCGTGGTAACAAAGGACTAAAAAAAATCCACTGCAAAGTCCACATTTCTTCAAAGCGTATAGTCAAAAGACAGTGCGGCTTAAATTCCTCAGGTGTTTTTTTTACATCCATGCTACAATATCCAACTCATTAGAAGTCCACTTTCTCACTCGCCTGTTGGCTGACAGGCATGACAGCGGCACGGAAGTCGCACCTGCATGAAATGACGATGACGATCCAACAACACATGGAGTGTCAAAATGCACTGGTGTAAATATAACAGCAAAAAGGCCTCTCCTATTTTAAAAGTCTAGTTAAGTGAAGTTCAAGTTTTTTTTTTATTTCCGTGTCCTTTTGATTGTGGTTCTGTTGCACCCCTATTCTACCTCCGTCTGTGTTTTCTGCCAACTCTCTCAACAAAAACTTGGTGGACACAAAGCCCGTCGGACAAGGCGGTCCCAGCTTTGCATGAAGTGTCACCTGCGGTGACAAGTCGCTAGGACAAAAGGACGGCAGACACGAGCAGCATCGCCACGGTGAGAAGAAGGCGGTCCCGTGAGGGGCTGCTGCCGCTGACGCTTTTCTCCAGTTTGGGAACTTCGGGGTTAAATTCATCTGGAGAAAAAAAGTCACAGAAAGAGAAAATGAGAAAGTGAGAAAAAGAGAGGAACGCGAGTGTGAAAGAGAGAGAGAGAGATGGTGTGCACCAGACAGAGGGAAACGAACCATTACTACATTATTAATTCATCAATCTAAAGGCAACGTGTGATGCATGCTAATTGTGCTTTAACATATGCAGAGAAAAAGACATGATGCAATTATCAAACCACCAATTATCATCAGCACTGCTACATATGGCCATTTCTCCTGCGGGATGAAACTTTAAAAACACTTTTATTTCTGATCTGGCTTTTTTTTTTGTCACATACTCTTCTTTTCACACTAATGATGTTTTTATCCGAGCGGGATTTCAATCAAACCAAATTACTATGGCCTCGCTATTGATTAGACACAACAGAACATTAGCCGGAGGGGAAAAATGCAGAAAGAGCTGGGAGAACACATTTTCTAATAATGTAAAAAGTGGATTAAACTGAGCCATTATGCTCCGTCTCGACATAATGTTTCCCATTATATCTAGAGGGTTATTACATGCCAAAATGAAGCCAAAGGAACCAAACAGAGCTCTGTTGCTTACACAACTATAGGAACAACCAGCGCTGGCTGCATTGAGATGTGTTTTTCAATAAAGTAATCCAACTAAGTGCAGAAGAAAGCTGCACTTTGACAAATTGTGCCCAAACACCGACAACAATCTTGTGTTTGTCTATCAAAACCCCATTACTTTCACTTTATTATGTTGTCATCATAATGTCCCGGTGTGTAAAAGTTGCAGCCGGCATGTTGTTTTCCAACCAATCAAAGTGGCTTTCAACAGGAAATATATCAAATTGAGGAGGCAAGGTGTCTTCAAAAAGCTGTTTCGCCGTGATGTGGAAGCCTTGCGCGGGGTTTGCTAAATATAATGAAGACAGTAATTGTCTACAAGTGAGAAACACGGGGTGTGATAAGAGATAACAGATAGAGACAACAGCTCGATGTTTGATGAATGTACGGAATTGTGTTGTGGCTGTCTCTGTCTGAGAGTCAACCATCCGACCGCTCTGCGTTTGTCCTGGTCGTGTGCGGCTCTTGCAAACACGAGGCGTCCGTCTGTGCCGATGACACACAACACTGACATTCACACCGCGGCGCACCGGGGTGAACTCAAATGGAACACAGTCGGCGAAGAGGGAAAGTATAAAGCAGCATTGCCTCAGGTGGAGCCACAGGTCACCTTACCACCCAGTCTGTCTCTCCAGAAAAAGATTTCACCAGAGATAATAAAATGTAAACTCAGTGACCAGAAGAGGAGACGCCCCGTCCCGGCAGAAGAGGTGAGCTCTCCTATTATTTTTACACAATGCAGCCACGACTCCCTTTCGACGGTTGCTTCGCGTTCGTTGTGAACCGATTCATTTCGTGTGATGGTGCAGACTTTATTTGTGGGCGCCAAGAGCTTCGACAATCAGAAAGCTGCACAGGATGCAGCTCTTCAAAAGCCCTCGCTATTCAAGGAGGCCGCCCTTGGAAGATGAATGTGGGGGACGTCAAGCGCCTCGGGCCATAACAAGTTATCCACAGTATGACAGCGAACATCACAGTACAATTGTGGGATACAGCAATCAATTTTCCGAGCGCGCAATCTTGTGCAGTCTCGTCTGTATGGGGTATAACAACAGGCGGGGCAGCTCTCCTGTCCACGGTGAACCGCCCAAGGCATTTACAGTGAGATAAGAAGCATCGGCTCTCAGGCAGTCGATGAGTGGGAGGCAGGCTGTCTGGTCTGATAAGTCCTCGTGCCAGCTACGCCGCGACGATGGTAGACTCGCAGCGACGCGTGAACTGCATGAGGCGACGGACCCATCGAGCACGGTTACAGCTCTAGGGGTCGGTGGGGGAGGTGTGAGAGTGTGGAGGCCATTCAACTGGCTAACACGTGCCTAAATGCCATCTTGCCTCACAGCTGCCTGGAGCTACTCCCAGAAAAACAGAACAAACAACTCTTTACTATGAAACTGTATTTGAATGTCTAGGAAAACACTAAACTTAATTGCACCTGCCAACCGCTACGGTGGCTTTCTTGCCAATTTAAAATACCATGATGGATACATCGCTCCTTACTGACACAAACACAACAAAATAACCCCCCACCCCATACTGAAAATGGCTAGGAGGCTGCACCTCCAACATGTTTTTGAACCAGTGATTTTGAGCGGCCTTTACAGCCGCTAACTTTGCACAAATGAGACCAAAAATAATCCGCTTCATTCTCAAAGAGCACCAATAAGCGCGCTAATAAGCAAATAGCGTCTCGGTGCTCCTGTGCTATTTGCGCGTATCTAAATGAGGTCATATGCACACATTTGGCTTTCCCTTTGAAAACAACAGTCCAATTAACAAAGATCAGCGCTAACACGCAGTTAAAGCGAAATTATTAGCCTCTTCAGAGAGTTGGTGGCAACAAAGTGAAGCACATTTATAAACTGTGTTCTATTAATAAGTAATTTACCTCGTGCAATTGTCCCTACTTATGGTTTTGAATTCCCTCACTTTGGAAAGCACATTGAAATTACGGCCTGAAAGGAGCTCTGTGAATACAAATCATTACAATTAGTATTATTTTGCAGTCTGAAGTTATGCATTTGAAAACAGCACTGACTAATTGACAAATGATTTCTCACAGTCACGCTCAAATTGTTTGCCTGAAGGTTTGAGGGACGCCTCGTCAGTCAGCTCGTTGTCTGAACATTTCCTTTGTCTTTGTGTCTTCTGCCAACTGTGTTCTTGGCACAAAGGCAGTTGCAATAAAATGCAGAAAAAGGGCAAATTGCACTCTGGCTTTGCACTTGCAAAACTTGGTTTGCTCTGTAATATTGTATGTACTGTATGGAATATGTACCCATTATTTACACATATTGTATGTAATAGATCTTAAGCGATTGCAAATGACGCGCAATTTACGGCGCTATCAGCGGCTGCAATCCATTCTTTGTGAATTGGCCGAAGTGTACAGACTGCACATGTTGGATGAAGCGTTTTGGTTTGCACAGTGCATCACAAGTATATCTTACCACTGATTTTGAGAAAATCTGCACATAACAAGCCACTCGGAACAGAGGAGTCTTGGGTGCCCGTGCCTATTCATGCATCTTAAAATGATCTATTTATTGTTGCATTTTCCGGTCCACTACCTTATTTATGTGGCAGGCTTTAACCCTCCTACTGCTGCAGACACTCTCTGTAGGAGGACAGTGTTTAAGGGCAAGTCACAGTTGGAAGAATGCACAACAGAGTGTACTAAGCTTTGCTGCAGGAAACTATAAGGTTATGATTAATTCAAGCAGCAAGGCTGATGCTGAACTCTTGTAGCACATTTGTGGCAACAAGCCGTTCGTTATGAGACGCTCTACCATCGCAAATCTCAGCTCTTCTGCGATATAGAACAGATGTGTGTTTGACAGGGTTTAGAGAACTAAAATCATAACAAAGGTAAATCAACTCAATTCACATTTAAAGGATGATTCTGCTTTATTACAACCTGGGTCTTGCTTCTGTAGTTTATGTTACATAGCGGGCTCACCAAAGTAATTGCTGAGATATGGAAACACTTTCTAATGGGACAACAAAGACAAGCGATCCGGCAGGTTGTAAACAAGCCAACAGCGTCTCATTTCACAAAAGTGATTCACAAGCACTGCTGGCACACAGATTGCCAATGGTGGCAGCGTCTCGTTTTCACAAATGATAAACTGTGATGATTACAGCAGACAGCTTGAGAAATATCTTTGGCCTCTACTTCCAAGTAAGTTTGGCTGATCCGAGGATTTGTTTAAATCATCTTACCGCTTGTGTTTCTTGCCCTGTCGGACTTCAGCAATGTCACCGTGTTTCCAGATCTCAGCAACTAACTGAAAGCTATTGAGAGGAACTTATTGTGTTGATTGCGTCGGTCCCTGTGGACAATAGCGGTAGTGTTTCCAAGCACCATTTTACTGCAGCAGGGGTACGACAGTCAGCCCCGCTCAGTCCTGTTCTGGTTCTCCCGGGCCTCCCTTCCCTCCAGAGGGCCCAGCTGGGTCTTTAGCAGTGTGGGTTGGCTCCCAGCAGGGACCGGAGGGGCAGCGAGGCAAAGCTCTGCTCCTGGTCGGAGGAGAAGAGACGCTGATGCCAGGCAGGTAAGCTATTCACCTCCCGCCGGAGCTCCGACTGCCGGGAAGCCGGGTCTGGGTCTGCCAGAGGCCCCGCTGGAGTCAGAGCTGAGGGAGTTTCTGGTGAACCTGCATGATTTCATTTGCGTTTGCGCGGCATCAGGCCCGGTGGCATCAATTACAAGCATTAAGAATAACGATATAGAAACAGCAAATCCTCTCTCTGGCGGTCTTGTTTACTTATGTAGGTCAAATAGAGGCATCAGTATTAAACCAGTTGCAAGTTCCCCACAGTAGCTTTAACAGCCATGCTATTACCCATTGGTACAATGGGCGTAACTACAAAAAACAAGACCTGAGGGATTATCCTCCAAACACCTTGTTAAATAAGGAACGTGTGACGTAGAAGCAAAGCTAATAATAAAGTAAAGAGGCTGACAGCAAGTCCAAACATATGTGGAGCGAGAGGGAGAGATGTGTTGATGCTAAGCCAGTCTGTGGGCTGGTCTGGTCCTGAGGGTGAGTCAGAGAGTGGGTGTCCAGCGGTCAGCAGGGCCATCAGGGCTACGAGTTCTCCCCGAGTGTGTGTGTGTGTGTGTGTGCATAAATCTGTGTGTCCTGATTTTTGTTATTCCTCCAAATGTATTCAGCAAAATGCATCATAATGCTCGAGGCTATGTTTTTTTATGATTCCATGCCAGTGTGTGTGTGTGTGTGTGTGTTTCTTCTATATTAAATTCTACGTAAGCTCGAGCCTGAGTTACTGCTGAGCAATTCGCCCACCACTGAGCTTTCTTTCTTCCTCTGCCCCTTCTCTCTGCACCCCCCGTTCTCTGCCCCCACTCTGGTTTTCTCTCTCTCTCGCTCTCTCTGGCTTATCTGTCCCTCTTTCTGTCAGGCTTTCTCCCGCCGCATTTCTCTCTCACTGCCTCCTTCTTGTCTTTCATCCCACTGACTTTCTCTGTCTCACCGTGTCTCTCCCTCACCCCCCCCCCTGTCCGTCTCTCTTTTCTGCCCTCTCTCTCTCTCTCTCTCTCTCTCTCTCTCTCTGAAGGTACTCGTTGCTGATGAGCTCGAGAGCTCTCTACGCTCCGTCTCTGCTGGTCTCAGTTTCTATCTCAGGCAGGTCACACTGTCTCAGCCCTCGTCACAGACTGCCCACAGCTCCCAGAAACAAGCACACTAAATGATTCCCGGCAAGAGGCTTTTGTGAGAAAGAAAAATAGAGGGTTTATGTAACCACTCAGCTGCACAATCGACTTGCTCGCTGACATGCTTTCTCTTTAGGACCTTTCGTTACTTACAAGACATCTACTGACCTTGTGGAGGTTTTGCTGTGTGTGTGTGTGTGTGTGTCATTGTAAGGAATAAAGCTTTTGTCTTTTGTTGGTATTTCTGGTTTAATTCAAACTTATCTTTGTGTATCTGCTATGCTGAGTATTGAGTAATAGTTCATGGGTCTGCTGTTGGGTTAAGTGTCGTCATTTGTTTACATATTTGTGATCTTACACAGAAAATAATGTGTTTACTCATCAACCAGTTATGGCCTGTGGATATTCTCTTGGTAAACATGAAACAAAAAACCAACAAATGGTTGGTGCCTTTCCACAAGGATTGGGACACAAATCAAGCTGTGCAGCCACAGCCAAATATTGACCAGCATCTGGCAATTTGGCTGCTGTTGCATTTTTTCAGCGACTCAGAGTCACTCACCGATGTTGTGTATTTTGATGTTTGGCCTGACTGTGTAGTCGGGAGAGGTCTGACTGGAGTCATCATCTGCCTGGGAAACTGAGAAACACACCACATATACACACGGAGACGGGAAAGACAGAAGAGGGAGGAATAGAAAGCAGAGGATGGAGAGAGGGAGGACAGACAGGGAGAGAAAACACGCCATTAAAATGACAAGACTGGGTGAAATGTGCATTTTTAGGCACCACTTAATTGTACACGGATATAGCAGAACATGGAGCAGTTGTGCCCTTGCCACGGAGAAAGCATGATGAAATCCTGGGCTGAGGATCCAGACATCTAAAGATTAAAAGCATTCTGAACCGGTGGACAGAAATCATTTTCACATTTGCCGTTCGTCTAGACACAGAATTACATTCAGACCGCATTGACAAATTAACCATGAATGAAAGATGTGTGGGTTTGTCGATGTGTACGCGTCTTTTTTATTTTCCAACTAAATATGTGTGTTTAAGTGAAGCTGTGATTCTGATGCACGGTGAGAAGGATGAAATAGCATTTACGGAGAATTTACATAGAAAGCTGGCGGCAATCAAGTCGCAGCTCTTTGCAGATGTAAAGCATATGTCATGAATATTCACACATCTCTTCCTTATCTTAAAGTCTGGTACGGGTTAAGGTGGGAGACACGCAGAGACAAATGAAAACTGTCTGGAGGCGGCTGAAATCAACAGCTTCCTGATAGCAAGCTGTTAAAATGACCTTGCTGAGTAAAGGTTGTGGATCGTAAACTAGACTAAATGCACCAATGCACACAATAATAATAATAATAATAATAATAAGATTTACGGCCGGCAAACTACCATGTGCAGACACACACACACACACACACACACACACACACACACACACACACACGACCGAACTCATACACCTCGAACACACACGGCGATGCACACACAAACACGCACAGAAGCAGACGGAGGCGTGGTGGACACATCAATAGATTAGCCGTGACACTGGGATGGGGAGGGGAGGGTGTTAAGGTGATGTGTACACAGGGGCTGACACTGGCCTGAGTGTGGGATGTATTAGAGCTGACAAGGTTAGAGGAGAGGGGGGAGGCTTTGGGCAGCAGGCTCCCTGATCAAAGGCCTGCAGGGGAGAGAGCAGGCTACCAGGGTAAAAATAACACACACACTATACAGGGCAGCAAGCATCAGAGAGTCAGAAAGAGAACAGAAGAGATATAGACAGTGGGGGAGAGGAAGGAGGAGGGGGGGTGGTCAAGAGAGCTAGAGGAGAGAGGGATGGGGAGTGAGAGAGAGAGAGAGCTGAATCTCGCAGCTGAATCAGTTTCCCTCCTTTACATCTTTTGTACGGCTTCATGAGAGCATGTCGTTCACAGGGAGCGATAGAGCATTATTGTAATAGCACTGAGACGGAGAATAACATTAAGCCGTCACTCTTGAAGCGCCGCTCCGAGGGAAAAGACGCCATCATCAAAACCGCGCGGCAGTAAAAGCCTCTCTCTGAGACCAGACTGTCAGATCTTACTTCTTCTGTCTCTCTGTCTGTCTCGGTGTGTTCGGGGCGATGCAAAGACATACGAGGGGAGGAGAAAGTGGAGATGAAGTGAGGAAATGGTTTGAAACGAGGTAAGAGGGAGCTGTTTCGTCTCACCGGTGGAGCAGCAGACGTAGACCCTCAGTCTCAGGCAGCTGTGGCCGTGGTGGTGGGTGGGCGTGGCTAAAACAGAGAGCAAACACACACACGTCAACCTTGTGCCCTCTGCAGGCCACACCGCCCTCGACAATCAGCTGTGCAAACTGCAGCTCTGCAGCTGAGCAGCCGCCTGTCCTCGGCCGAACTTCCAGAATCTATTAGCAACACCCACATGCCATCAATACATGTGGGTGACAGCAGCTGAGGAGACGATATTAAAATACTGGCTGCTCAGCACTCTCAGGCTTTTCTCCCCCATCCATCACAATGAACCAGTGTCTGCTGGCCTGACTCACAGATGTAGTAGTACTCCTGACCCACGTTGAACTCGTAGCCCAGCGAGAAGGCGCTGTAGCGCTGGAACTTCTCAGAGAACTTGATGGGGGCGTGGGGCGCGTGGGGCCGGTTGCACTCCCAGCGCTTGAAGCCCAGCTGGGGGTCGCAGGTGCGGTAGCCGCGGTAGCTGACCATGTAGAGGATGTACTGCTCGGCCACGGTGCGCTCCAACGTCCCCCGCTGGCTGGTGTTGTAGTGCGGGCAGTAGATGTCCAGGTAGTCATTGACGCTGACCTGCACCGTGTAGCCTTCCCTCCGTAGCCTGAATGAGAAAAAGAAGGAAGAAATGAGGATAAGTAACTAGGGCCGCAAATAATAAATTGTTTTTTATTATCTGGTAAAAAAAAAAAAAAATGTTTGGAGCCTTATCATCAGCCTGAGGCTGCCAGGCAAGCAGACACTGGAAAATCACTTAAATAGTCCCGCACATACCACCCCATAAAACTGCAACTTGTTGTGGACCCTCTGAGACCCGCGGGATTGCAGGCTGGCAGTTGGAGTGAAGATACTGTTATTATATGAAACTAGACGACCTGATGAATCCATTGATACCAAATATGTTATGCCATCTTGTCGAGAAGGGACTCAAAGCATAGGCAAAATGTAGGCGATTTTCGGAGGGGTCCCCTTGGACCCACGAGTCTCCTCTTTGCAGACTTTATGATAAAACCATGCAGTTGTTTGCATGCGGTATAAATGTGTTTTTTGAATGGGTATTTGAATATTTCTGCATACTGGGGTCCCTAAACAGTCTTGGAATTGCATAAATGGGGTTTGACTGGAAAGCTGAGACTCGTGTGGATCCAATGAGCCCATTTGTATTCATGTGTGATGACGTTAGTCACCATAGTAGCCGTTTCACACAGTGAGAGCATTCTTTTTAAACTTCATGTCACTGTATAAAGTGACCTGTTGTGACCTCTAGGATAGTGACAGCCTGATGAAACGTTACTACCACAAAATAGAGACCTTGGCCATTCAGAGGCTTTCCCAGGTATATGGACAATGTGGGGGTTTCTGAGCAGATTACAAAACAGAAGTGCTCACCGTGCAATCGCAGAAGAATCTCCAGAAGGTATTTTAGAGGTTTTTTTGATCATTTTGATCAACTTGAGAATATAAAATCCAAATCACACCAAATCAGTGTAACAAATGGTATTGTCCCCAAAACTTCCTACAACAACATTTACAATACAATAGCACATGGTCACCATATACTATCATCACAATGAACAACTTGACACACACTGCTGAGCTGAGATGAATAATGAATTCAGTTTCGGCCAATAAATCGCCCTAAATCCCACACACACGTCTTCAGTCCATAAAACATCATCAAATAGTGAAAACCACAAGTCTCCAAAGCCCACGATGATGTCACGCCAAAACCCCAAAGTTATTTCATTTACAAAAAGAGAAAAGCCGCAAATTCTCAACGTAAAAGCAAAACAAAGAGGCCAGAGAGGAGCAGACTTCTCCCTCAGCGCACATTAACGCCCTCTCCCCCCCTGCATATAACAACACACATTTCCACACTAAACGCCTTGTGGCGAGTGCTGAGAACGCTGCTGAGAATGATAATCTGCACTCCTGTCTCCGCCCCCAGCCACAAGCCGGGTCACTGAGGCGGAAGGAGATCCTGTCAGGGGCGATGTATGCTCTGGCCGCGGGGGAACCGGCCTGCACTCGGTACGTATGATGGCCCAAGCTCCCCTGGCAACCGTCGCTGATGGACGACTAGGCTAGTGAGGAAGGCCACTCTGAGGTTGAGTGTGTGTGTGTGTGTGTGTGTGTGTGTGAGATGTACACGACAGTACAGTAACCCTGAATCAAGGCTCCTCACTGAACAACTGGGATGATGATGTGATATGATTTCGCACTCGGCTGCCACGCTGCGATCTTCACTGTTTGTAATACTAAGTATATACTTATTATGTAAATTACACAATCTGTAATTAGACAAAGTAGAAGTCATTAGAAGGGCTCCTGCAGGTGAGCTGATGAGATGGGAATTGTCCTTGGCTGCAGTGATGTGTAACGTGTGTCAACAGCCGCTGTAATGACTCATTTGCACCACTAGGTGGAGGTATGGTGCCGTCTTGTGTTGGGAAAGCAAACCTCTGCACTTTCTTCCTCTCCTGGTTGTCTCCTTTCTTACACGTTTTCTGTTACACACAAACACAGAGGAGCACACACATACACACAACAATCCCTCCCTGTGTATATGTTGTTCCTACACACACACACACACACACACACAGTGGCTCACACTTTAATGCGCACACATGCACACCTTACTAGGTCAGGCCTCCAGAGAGATTTTTATTCAATTACAAAATGTGGATCAGAAATGTCACAGCACCTCCCTCTCTCTCCCTCTCTCTCTCTTTTTCATCTCGCCATCTTTCTCTCTGTGGTTTTACAACCGTTGCTTTTTTTTTCCTGGATCCTCTCCTCCACTCCCATCCTCCTTCTCATCCCATCACCCCTTCCCTTCGTTTACACAGGCAGATGAAGATCAGTTCTCTTAACCACTGCTCTTTTTGGGGCCATCAATCTTATCTGTGCTTTCTATCCCCGCTGCTTAGATGTCAGATGACAGACTTTTGTTTTGCAGTGTTGCGGGAAGAGACAACACAGCTATGCTTCAAAGGGACTATATTTAGAGAGGGGGGGTTGGTGGTGGAGGAGGAGGGGAGGAAGTTTGAGATTCGGGGGGGTTGGGCAGAGATAGATAAAGCGGTACAATGGGTGTGGGATAGAGAGAATGGTAAGCAGATAGACCGAAGATGAAAGTGGGAGAAAGAGGCTGTGTTGAATATGAAAAGGCGCCGTGAGGAGAATCCTGGATGCGGGTGGCGTGTAAAAAGTCAGAGTGTGATGCAGTCATTGAGAAATAGGTGAGAGGACGTCGGCGAGCGAGAGGAGCTGAATGCAAGGAAGCAAGAGCAGGAGGAAGACTGTGTCTGAGCACTCTATAGTATTTATGGATGAAGAGGACACTTTATTTGGCGCATTCATGTGGCTTGAGTGTCCTAGGTGGGGGTGAATCTAGGGCTGCCATGATCAGTTTCTTTATCAATAAATATATTTTTTTGATGAATCTATTTAGCGTTTAGTTTTTAAAATGTCATGAAATAGTTAAAAATGACAGTTACAATCTCACAGAGCCAAAAGTGACCTCTTCAATTGGTTTGTTGTGTTTAATCACAGTCCAAAACCCAAAGGTATTCAAGTCATAGTGTAAAGACTGAAAGAAAGAAGAAAATCCTCACATTTCAGCATCACACTTGGGATGTGTTTCATTATTTTTGCTTGTTAAATAACTTCAGTAATAACGAATCAATCATTAAAATTGTTGTAACCAATTGTTTGAACCCTGGACAAACGACCCTGTTCCTTTACTGCGGACTGTTTTGGTTATCACTGAGCCTCAGCAGACGCAGCGACACAGCACGAAGATCATTCGTTCCAATTGTAAAGTCAGCTGTAGGAGAAGCAGGGGAAGAAAGGAAGAGGAGGAGGAAAAAACAACTCTGGAGGAAGAAGAGAAGGTACAGTGGTGCAGAAGAGAAAGAGAAAGAGAGAGAGAGAGAGAGAGAGAGAGAGAGAGAGAGAGAGAGAGAGAAAAAAAAGCAGGAGACTAAAAGGGTGGAGTGAGAAGAAGAGGCTGGCTGGGTGAGAGGAGTCCCTCTAGGTGGACCCCGTTATATAAGCAGTCCACTTAGCGGCACAAGACAGAAAGGTTGCAGGGCAGAGAGGGACGGAGGGAGGAGAGCAGAAAGAGTGGAAGGGGGGTGAGGGGAGACTTAATAACATACAATGTTGGGGGGGGGGGGGGGTAGGCGAGGAAGGAAAATGCGTTGAATGATGAGAACAAAGAGAGAGGCGCAGAAAGAAAGACAGAGACATAGTGCTCCCCGAGGATGAACATATGTGTGGTAAAAGTGCATAAAGAAAAGAAAAGAGCGATGGCTCTCATTCTCTCGGTTTCCTGCAGCCCGCTCCCCTCCATCCAACTCCCTTCCTCTCTCTCTCCGCTGTGCATTGTCTCTGCGCCGCTTTTGCTGTCTCATCATCATTTTCCTATGAGTGGGAGTGCACAGCTAGTTAGTAAAGGCTGCACAAGCGGGTGAAGACTGCCAGGGGAGGCAGATAGCTGGGGGAGGGGGGGGGACAAAGATAGCAACACTGCACCTTTCACATCTGCGCTAAAAAGAGTCCTTTGGAGAATACCGGCGGTATCAATAAATAACAATGGTGAGGTAGCGCCACAGCTAAAGACACTTCTCCTACAGCTACAGAAAATCTATAATTCTTGGAGTAAAAAACACAACCATAAATAATCTGTTGTGAGTAACAAAAGTGAGGAATTACAAGGAAATATTTCCCTCACTTTCCCCGATATGAGTGGTGTCGATCATTTATTTTTGTTTTGCTTCACTGAGCTAAATACAAAAACAAATCCATGTCCTCTGTCATTTTTCGGAATAGTAATTTTGCTGGATAGCATCAAAGCAGAAGAATAAGCCGCACTGACTTTCAAGGAATATAATAGCAGTGGAACTGCACTTTTTTGCTTTTTGTTCAGTGACGTGAATGGATATGAAAAGTGTAAACCCACCAAGGTATTCTTCACAGTCTGGAGGTAGTGCTGTTTGTTCTGCTGCAGCTTCGCCCTACATTACTGCCAGAGGCTCCAACTGTTTTCAAAAATCCATTAAAAACAGCTGGAAGAGACAAGTTGTTGCTTTTGACAAACATAGTCCAACCTTGCAGTAGACGGTAATGGCTTCTGACTGGAGAAAAAATAAATAAAACACTGGGTTTCAACTCTTCAGGTATTAAAAGGAATACTTTGCCCCTAAAGAGGTGATTTGTATTTCTGTAACTCACCTCGCGTTACATTGAATCCTTGAAGAAAATGTTTTTCTCCCTAATAACTCCACCATGGATGGAGAATACAAGAACGGAGAAAGGTTTTGATGAATTGAAGTAACTGGGGGACGCGTTTAGCGACAGCAAATCTATATCAAAACATCCGTTTACAATCTCTCACACAACTCGGGCGGTTTAATCGAGTCTTGTTTATCCAGTCCTCGGCTTACTTCTTCCCAAACATGCATTTAGTCAGGTGTGCTGACTCGTCCATGTGTGTTTGTGCCAAAGTGTTTTAAATGTTAAGCTTTTAGCGAGTGTACCTACTGTAAATAATAAAATGACTCCGTTAGTTTACTTTGCAAATATCAGCAACTTTTACGG